ATTGATCTAGCGAGACAAGCTTGCTAACGATTGCACCAGGTATAACCGCCTCTAAATGGTTTTTGAAGCGTAGCTTAGAGGTGGCACCCGGCCAAATGCATGTGCTACCAAATTAGGATCGAAATCATTATTCGGCCGTAACGGATCTCGCACAAAGTGACAGGAAATTATTTTCTAAGCCTAAATTAGCTGAAGGTATGGAGCAGCGGAATAAGTGGATCCCACAGTATTACATGGCTTTCGGACTGGGATCAAAGTGTAGTATCTGTCCTCCGGCGGATAAACTGCATTTTATCTCTCAGTTGTTTCTCTGCGCACAGAGCGCAGCTGAAAATATTATTGGGAGGTGCCTACTCTCGAGGACCAGCTGTTCCCGTCAGTACCTCCCGCATTGCACTAAAGAGCGAGTATCAGTAGTAATACCTATGATATTTTTGACCTAGCCCGGGTGCACGCGCTCGGGCTCCCCACATTAAACTGACTTTGTGCCACATCCGACCAGCGAGAAGTAAATACGAAGTGTAGTATTTGTCCTCGGTCGGACAAACTATTTTTTTTTATCTCTCAATTGTGTTTTTATCTTCTGACAAGACATAACAAATAAAACCTGGCACCGTGGATAAAAAAAACGCTGCGACAGTATCTCCTTCATTTCCCCGAAGAAGTAATTTCTGGAAAATATCGAGGCCAGCGCATTGTTGGGCTCCCACTTTAAATCTGCCTTGTGCCATATCACGTCACTGTTATGGATCTGCGTAAATACCAGGTGTGGCATTATTCGCTGGTCCTCTTAAAATTATGAGACAAACATGATAACGCAGACTCCAACTATGCCACAGTAGCTCCTACGTTGCTCTAAAGAGAGAGATTGGTGGGGATACTGAAAACAGGGGGAGAATGGTCACAGAGATCAGAAACGTTTTCTTCTTGATCGGTACAGTAAGCGGTATGTTAATGTTAACGCCTACAAAACAAAACTGCTCTATATTAATCATTTTAAATCATCATTTTTGCCGTCCATAAGTATAGCAACATGCTAACCTCATGAAATGGAATTTATTTAATCACCCTTAATTAAAAAAACACTTCCAATGTTTTTGGTCTGACATGAAATGGAACGATTATATTTAATCAATTACTTAATCTACTTGTTACCACATTTGGTCTGGTGCCTCTTTTATAAACAGACTTGCAAAACTATTGAGCTACATTCGTAGGTTAATTACTCTGCGTCTCCTCTAGATTTTCCCGGAGGAGTAATGGATAGCGGCTCGGATTAAGCCGAGTTCGAATTCCAGTCGAATCCATTACATTCACTTACGTGCTATGACCCTTTGGAAAAGGTATGAATCCTCTTCTAGATTTTCCCGGAGGAGTAATGGATAGCGACTCGGATTGAGGAATCGGAGAGCCGGGTTCGAATTCCAGTCGAATCCATTACATTCACTTACGTGCTAATACCCTTGGGAAAGGTATGAATCCTCTTCTAGATTTTCCCGGAGGAGTAATGGATAGCGACTTGGATTGAGGAATCGGAGAGCCGAGTTCGAATTCCAGTCGAATCCATTACATTCACTTACGTGCTAATACCCTTGGGAAAGGTATGAATCCTCTTCTAGATTTTCCCGGAGGAGTAATGGATAGCGGCTCGGATTGAGGAATCGGAGAGTCGAGTTCGAATTCCAGTCGAATCCATTACATTCACTTACGTGCTAATACCCTTGGGAAAGGTATGAATCCTCTTCTAGATTTTCCCGGAGGAGTAATGGATAGCGGCTCGGTTGAGGAATCGGAGAGCGAGTTCGAATTCCAGTCGAATCCATTACATTCACTTACGTGCTAATACCCTTGGGAAAGGTATGAATCCTCTTCTAGATTTTCCCGGAGGAGTAATGGATAGCGGCTCGGATTGAGGAATCGGAGAGTCGAGTTCGAATTCCAGTCGAATCTATTACATTCACTTACGTGCTAATACCCTTGGGAAATGTATGAATCCTCTTCTAGATTTTCCCGGAGGAATAATGGACAGCGGCTCGGATTGAGGAATCGGAGAGTCGAGTTCGAATTCCAGTCGAATCCATTACATTCACATACGTGTTAATACCCATGGGAAAGATATGGATCGTCTTCTAAATTTTCCTGGAGGAGTAATGGATAGCGGCTCGGATTGAGGAATCGGAGAGCCGAGTTCGAATTCCAGTCGTATCCATTACACTCAGTTACGTTTTAATACCCTTGGGAAAGGTATGAATCCTTTTCTTCACCCACCAGCTATAGGTAAATAGCAGGACAGACCGGTTTCTGTAGCCTTGGATAGCAACTTGTCTACCTCAAAAAGAAATGGCAATCTACTGCGAGGAAAAATCTGGCTCGTCAGTCATGTATCGAAAGGTACATGATCGCCTAAGCGTGTATCCCCCATGGCACACAACTGAAGGAAAAATCATTTTTTTCTTAAAAATATGACTAATACTCCCAAGAATATAAAGTTTTGGCATTGAGCGTCGCAGAGTTACATGGGATATTGTTGTCATATATGGACTTCTGCTCCGGCCGTACGTCTCGTTGTCCTCAACAAAATCCGGAGATGAATATGCAATGTGATATGTCTTGATCTAGACTACAATGGCTTTCCTACCGACCTACCGTGGCTTTTCTCTGTCCCTTCTACAAGAAATTTTCGCGGCAACTTTTGCAACGAGCTACTTTCGCTGATTCCCAGACTACATGAATTGAAGCGAGCTACCAGACTGGCATCTCGGTCCCACCCTTTCACTGTCAAAACGGTTAAATGTAACCGTCTCTTCTACTCAAGCACCTTCTCTCGCTCTTCCCATCTGTGAAACTCCCTTCCCCTTACTTGTTTCCCCGATGTCTTTAATCTGACAAATATTCAAGTGTAATGTCAAACGACATCTAACACCCTGATCTTGTTCCTCGACCTTCTATGTATCATTTCTCCAAACACGCCACTTTTTCTTTTTTTTTTCAATCCTCTGTAATTTCTTTCGTGCTAGTAGCACTTCTGCCTTTCTTGGGCTGAATTGTTTTTAAAAATACAATTATGTCAATAAGACTAAACAATTGCTCCTTCGTAATTTGTATGTTATCATGACTTTATCATCTCAGATCTTTTCTTTTTTTTAGCTTCCAACGACTTCAAGCGGTGTAACGTCTGTTAAACGACACGTACGAAAGTTGTAAAACATGTTGTCTAACCCTCAAGATTCTACAGATTAAAAGCATATTGGTAAAAAATATGTCAACTTCTTAACAAAATTAAGGTGTGTAATCATTTCATGTATTTCAGCCCAAACTATTACACGCTTCTTTATATTTAAACAATCTTGACAAAATCCAAATATAGCAACTTTATCACCTGGCATTTCGGCTTCAATCACTTTCCAAACATCGTACAGTAACTTCCCTTGGCTTTTCTATATTCATTTTCAATACTCGACTTCACCAATTTACGCGCAGTACTAAATTGGCAAAGAGGTCACATAATTTAATTGTGGAAATTGCTAGTCATAACCGGAAGTTATGTGCTAATAGTTTATTTTCCCGCACTTCTCGCTTGTGGAACTCACTTCCGGTATCTGGTTTTCCTACCACGTAGGATATTCAAAAATTTAAATGTAATGACAATCGTCATCTTGAAGCCTGTTCTTTCATTGTCCTCCTCGATTCTTTCACTCTTACTAACCCATTGAATACATCTTCTCTTTACTGCCTTTGATATGGTGAAATGATTAAAAATAAGGCACGAATATAAGCAGTCCTCGTGTCACATCCTGATGTTAAGATTAATATTTTGTGTGATTAAAATATATCAAATAACTAGCAGTAGAGCCCGGCGTTGCCCGGGGATGTAACAGTAAGAGATAGATCAAGTATCGACCATCATAAAGACTGAAAAATAAAATTGACAAACATTATTGTTTAAGGTTGACGGACACGCATGTCTTTATTTTTATTATTTTTTTTTTTTTTTTAAATTGGTCAAACCCAAACTCAAACAAAAACATTGTTTTCAATCGTTATGAGTCTACCGATTGAATAGAATTTTATTATAAACAATTGTCTTGTAAATGGATTTTTAAAGAATTCTGAATGTAAAAATAAAGAAAAAAGTGTGCAAGACAATAAGAAACACAGCCTGCCAAAAAAAGTGAAGTTGTTGAAAATCGGTTGAAAAATGAAGGAAATCCGATCCCATATATAAACGAATACACACACACACACACAAACAACCTGGGTTTTATAATAAGTATAACTCGATATGAATTTTCCCCCTTTCATTCTCGATAGCGATGCCTCTTAATCGTGTTTTCAAATTGATTTCGTGCAAAAACAATTGTGTTTTTCCAATTTTGGGCGCTGTCAGAACCACCGCAAGGTAATTTTACGTAGTCCTGGGAAATCGGTTGAAAAATGTAGGAAATCCGATCCAATATATAAATGAAACAGACACATACACACACAACCTGGGTTTTATAATAAGTATGATTTCGCGATTTATTTGTAAATGACAACGTGGAATTTCCACGAGTTTTACAATTAGTTTTTCCCTTCCTTTTGTTTTAACCAATTAGATTATGTGCATGGATCTAATGAAGCGAGGGTTTCAATTAAAAGCTGATGTTACATGTGAAAAATATATGAAAGGCAATAAGCGGCAAAACGCCAGAGGAACATCAATAAAGCGGGGAAATATTTATTTTGTGCAATTAAGGACAGCCGTAAAGGAAATGACGGTTCACAAAATAAGCTAGTCACCTGAGAAACAAGGACAAATTAATCGATTTGTGTCCGTGGATATTTTTTCAGAGCAAGAGTAAACTGGACAGTTTAAGTTCGCTAAGCGATAGAACAAACGTATAAAGAAGACTCCATATTGTAACAAAGAAAAGGAAAAAAAGCAGAGTGTGATTTCCCTTCGTCTCTTATGTGGTTTGGTTGACATTGCTTCAGTGTCGTTGACCGACAGACGGACGGAGATGTTTACAAAACTTTGTAAGCCGATTTCTCTGTGTGATATTTCAAATTGGACAGACAAGTCTTAACTGAAAAAGAGTTAACACAACCCAAATCTGCGTAATGTTATCGCTCTTTTGAATAAGGATAGAGAGTATCTTTCCAATGTTTTTCTTTAATCTCTCTCTCTGTCTGTCTGTCTCTCTATCGCACGCTCTTTCTCCCTAGCTCTCAATCACTAACATTCACTTTCTCTGGCGAAGGTCCTCTCTCTCTCTCTCTCTCTCTCTCTCTCTCTCTCTCTCTCTCTCTCATAAATTTCTCTCTCTCTCTCTCTCGAATACTCTTTCACGCGCACTCTCTCTCTGACGCTCTCTCTCCCTCTCTCTCCCTTTCGCTCGCACTCTCTCTCGCATGCTCTCTCTCTCATATGCCCCCCTCGCCCTCGCTCACACTCTCTATCCCTCGCTCTCTCTCGCACACTCTCTCTCTCACGCTTTCTCTCCCTCTCTCTTTCTCCCCCTCGCTCTCACTCTCCCTCGCACACTCTCTCTCTCTCTTACGCTCTCTCTCTCACGCTTTTCTCTCTTGCACTCTCTGTCCCTCGCTTTCCATCTCTCCCCCTCGCTCTCACTCTCTCGCGCATGCTCTCTCTCTCTCATATGCCCCCTCGCCCTCGCTCACACTCTCTATCCCTCTCTCTCTCTCCCTCACTCTCTCTCACGATCTCTCTCACGCTTTTCTCTTTTGCACACTCTGTCTCTCGCTCTACATCTCTCTCCCTCGCTCTGCCTCCATCGCTCTCTCTCTTTCTCTCTCTCTGTCTCTGTCTCTGTCTCTCACTCGCATGCACTCTTTTCGCCTCCTCGCTCTCACTCTAGCGTACATTCTCTCTCCCTTGGTCCCCACACCGTCTCCTTATTTGTGAGGAGATTTGTCCAGCATTCATTGCCATATAGAAGGACTAATATTACGTAACAGTTCAGTACTCTTTTCTCTGTTTTTACTGATTCAAGTCTCTTCTTCATCTGTGGGGAGATTGTCCAGCATTCATTGCCATAAAAGGGGGACTGATATTACGTTACAGTTCAGTACTTTTGTCTTTGTTTCTAACCAAATTTTCCTGAATCTTAATATTTTACCTGTTTTTTAAAAAATTAAACTTGCATTCTCTTTCGCACTGCTTATCTTTCGATTTTTAAATTCATAATAAAAATAAAACCCAAAATATTACACTTGATAAACATGAAGAACTCAAAAAAAGCTAAAAATTTTAATCATTTCACAAAGCCAAATATAATCACTAAGACATTAAGACACAAGAATAAGTGTGAGAGAATAAAGAAAAGAAAAACAGAAGAATAAAAGAAGAGGATTCAGGAGGACAGTAGATAACGATTGACATTGCATTGAAATTTTTGAAGATCAAAGTTGACAGTTAAGCATAAGCCCTAAAGAGAGTTCCACAAGCGAGAATTACGTGCGAAGAAACGGGTAGCATAGAACTTACGGTTGCATCTCGCCAACTAATAACTGATGAAATCATTTTAGTCAGTCAGTTATGTGCCATGCGTAATACACTCTTAGGCGTTCATGTATCTTTCGATACATGACTGACGAGGCAGATTTTTTCACCCGCAGGAGTTTGCCATTTCTTTCTGCAGCAGACCAGTTGCCATCCAAGGCTATAGAACCCTGGTTTTCTTGTTATTCACCCATAGTTGGGGAGAGAAGAAGAGGACTCATGCCTTTCCCAAGGGTCAGTCAGTTATGTGCCATGCGTGATACACGCTTAGGCAATCATGTATCTTTCGATACATGACTGACGAGGCAGATTTTTTTCCCCGCATTAGTTTGCCATTTCTTTCTGCGGTAGACCTGTTGCCATTCAAATGTTATAGATCCGGTCAATTTAAACATAGCGGTGGGGGGGAGAAGAAGAGGATTCATACCTTTCCCAAGGGTATTAGCACGTAAGTGAATGTAATAGATTCGACTGGAATTCGAACTCGGCTCTCCGATTCCTCAATCCGAGCCGCTATCCATTACTCCTCCGGGAAAATCTAGAAGAGGATTCATACCTTTCCCAAGGGTATTAGCACTTAAGTGAATGTAATGGATTCGACTGGAATTCGAACTCGGCTCTCCGATTCCTCAATCCTAGCAGCTATCCATTACTCCTCCGGGAAAATCTAGAAGAGGATTCATACCTTTCCCAAGGGTATTTGCACGTAAGTGAATGTAATGGATCCGACTGGAATTCGAACTCGGCTCTCCGATTCCTCAATCCGAGCCGCTATCCATTACTCCATCATAGTACTGCGCTTAAATTCATAAAGCCCAGGGATTGCCATTAATATAAGAACATTAAACCTCTGTTCTTTTTTTTTTTTTTAATCATATCATCCCTCGCAAGACAATTGTAGCCACAAGGGATTAATGAGTGCAGAAGAACAAGGATAGAAGAGAATCTTTACGGAGCGAGATAATATTGAACAGTAATGAGGACAATAGATGACAACTTTCAATTTTTGAAGATCAATGTTGACTGGAAAGGAAAAAAGCCGTAAAGGAATTCCACAAACGAGAAGTGCGATAGAAGAAACTGTTAGCATTGCCTTTAAAGGAGTGCCCTTTGCCGTGCTGATGTTGCTACATGCCTTACTTCTTGTCTATCTCACACTGCGAATTTTTTCTAAGCTCTATACTAAACATTAAAGCTGTTACGAAAAAAGAACTAAACGAAATGAACACAAAACGATCAGCTTAAAAAAAAGGACTCGTAATTGGAAAAACTGAATGAAAAAAGAATGTTAACAACATATAGTTCCCCCCACCCACTAAGCCAGTTCTGCGGAATCAGAATCAACGTTGAGTTTAAGCAAGCGAATGGGCCAATTGGAGTAAAGTGTCATGCAGATTTAATGTTTTCCCACTTGTGACGAATGCAGCTATCGATTTTTTTTTTTTTTTTGCATGCTAGCATTCTAGTTAACATTCGGGTCAGTCAGCTGTTGGCTCTCACGCTGGCCAATAGAATCTTCCTGCCTATTCGTGGCAGCCAGCTATTGGCTCTCACTCTGGCCAGCGCAAAATGGCCGCAAACTACATGAAAACTGCCGTAGAAGCATGAAAAATAGATTATTTCCACTATTTATGGGAGTTGGGAAATGCGAAGTCGGTCTTGGACTTTTCGCTAACTTGGAGCATGTACATGTAAATTTTGGTACAAATCCGTCGAAAATTGCGGCCGTGCATTCGTTACACACACACACACACACACACACACGTGCGCATCCTGCCTTTTATAGATAGAGATACCCGACTGTCGATCTTTTCAACTCTTGATACAATATCTCGTGGTTATATATTTTTCTATAACATACGACAGTAGTTTAGTTTTCAGCAATACAAGATCTCTAAAAGATTGATTTAAGAAATAGAAAATAATGCAGTCGTCTCTATAAACTTTACGATTTTCATGGTTTTACTTTATAAGAATCTTAGCGAAGATAATATGCCTGATTTATGTTCAACGTTACGTATCCTAAATAGATGCTTGTGGTCCGTTGTGGATTTAAATCACCCCACAACAAAGAAAAAGGCGAGAACGGAGTTTAAATATAGAAAAATAAATTGTAGTTTTTACAATTAAGTTCTTGTTAACGTGTAGAGTGGTAAAGTTTTCCAGCCGTTTTTTGTAGTTGTTTGTTAAGGTAAAATAAATGTTATTTCTTCACATGTATGTGTGAGAAAAAAGAGGCAAAGGAGAAAGTGAGGAGGAAAATGTAAGTGTCACGTACCTTGGTGAGGAATAGTGTAAGTGTCATGTAGCTCATGAGGAAGAGTGTAAGCGTCACGTAACTTGATGGGGGTAGAGTGTAAGTGGTTTCTAGCTTGGTTAGGAAGACGAATGAGTAAAGGAATCTCTTTTAAGCCGTGCGCGTCGTATGTTGCCGTTCCTTCTCTGTAATGGCCTATCTGGTTTAGAAGCTCTGCTTATATAGTCTTCAATGGGATCATGAAGCATGTTTTTTATTGTCGGCGGGAAGGCGACCCATTGGTTGAAAAATGTTAAATATTTATTTTCAAAGGATGAATTTATTAACCGGAACGTGCGCGAGCCCACCAACACAGAAACCATTTTTTGGTTATTTGATGATTAACTGTTTTAGGTGTTAATTTCCGTCTTCCCTCAACATGTCTGCTAGAAGAGTTTGGCAATCATACTTCACGACAAAATGAGGTCCTGAACTTAACGGCGGAGTTGGAATGCGATACAAGGCCGATTTAAGGTGAGGTACATGGAGTTTTAGATCAAGCACAAGAATTGTCCATTCCCTACAACCACAATCAAACTGGTTACTGGTGACGAGAAATTACATTTAAATGTTTGAAATATCCTGTAACAGCAGAGAAAGACGGCGGAAGAGAGTTCCACAGATGAGAAGTGCGAGAAAATAAACTCTTAGAATAGTTCAAAATTACCCTATACAAAAGTATTGAATACATCAATTTAATATTTTGTTGCGTAGCCTCTGTTTTGTTTCACTGCTTCCAGTCGCTTTCTATAGTTGGCCACAAGTTTTCCACCATTACTTTACCCCATTCTTCCTTGCATAATTCCTCTAATTGCTTGATAGCTTGTGGATTCCACTTATGAACTTTAACCTTCAAAGTATTCCACAAATTCTCAATTGGATTCAAGTCAGGAGACTGACTTGGCCAATTGAGAGTACTAATACCATTATTTTCAAACCATTCCTTTGTAAGTTTTACGGTATGTTTGGGATCATTGTCATGTTGAAGCACGAAATTCCGATCATGTCCTAAAGAAGTTGCAGATTTCTGAAGGTTCTTCTCTAGAATCTCCCTGTACATGCTACCATTCATTCTACCATGGATAACTTGTAACTCACCAGTGCCCTTGGATGAAAAGCAACCCCATATCATAATGTAAGCACCGCCAAACTTAAATGTGGGGATGGTATTGTGCTTGTTGAAGGAAGTGCCATTTCTTCGCCAAACACTTGAAGCTGTGTTCCTTCCGAATAATTCAACTTTCGTTTCATCCGACCAGATTACCTTTTCCCAAAACTGCATACCTTTCTTTTCATAAGTTTCGACAAACTTTAATCGGTCTTTGACAGGTTTGGTTTTCAGTAAAGGCACTTTTCTTGGTGATCTTGAATGAAAGCCTGTACGATATAGAGCTCTGCTAATGGTATCCTTACTTACATTAATTTCAGCACCCTCAAGATCTGTTTTAATTTCAGAACGAGTAATGAAGGGTTTTTTTTTTGCACATTTCTGCTGATCCACCTTGAAGTACTCTCATTTATTTTTCTCGGTCTACCATTTCTTGAAAGGTTTGATGTAATGTCTCCTGTTAATTCCCCTCTCAAAGTTCTCCACTGCCTTAACCGGGTATTGAACTCACACTCTTTGGGTCCTGTCACTGGATCTAAATAACGCCTTTATCCGCTGTGTCCTGTGTTTGAATTTCTGGGAATTATAAACCTAATGTCTTCAGCAAGCATTTTTACCAGTGCTGATGTTGAAATTTTTTCTGTTATCATCATGTTTTTACCAGAGCTCATATTGCAATATATTGCTTTTTTTTTTTTTTTTTTTTTGGTATTATCGCTATACTCTGGTACTCCTTATTGCTTGATTGTATTGATTTCTATGCTTGGTCGGCTCAGGAGATTTTTGTGGCCTAACATATGTGCTGATTTCTTAAGTTTACGAATTTTCCAATACTGTTCTTTGTCTATGATTTTAACCTGATCCCACAGAACGCGGTGATCTCACATATGTGGTCAAGCAAGACTGATTTTTCCACTTCCACTTGTGTTACAGTTGTAATAAATATGACGACAAAGATGAGGACAATAGTCCGAATAATGTAAATAGTGTGCAGATTAA